TTATTCACGGTATTTAGAAGTGCCCACGATAACAATATCGTGCATATTCATTACCGTAATATATCGCATTACCGAATACGGCACAAGTCTAGTCTACATATCACATTGTCACATGCCTTGTAAAAATTCATAAAAGTGTGACTGAACAACTGACCAGTAACACTTGTTCAGTGCAGATTTTCCTCACGCTTTGGACTTTGAACTAGAGGTTTACACGGAGACGAGCGACGTCATCAGAAGCAGGGTGGGCGGAGTTAATGCACACGTGCGGTGATAACGGATACCTTCATGAGTGATGTTATTATTGATTATTTTTAAAATAATATTATGAATGAACCATCTTGTTGTTATATCTAAAATTTTTGCTCAGACTCGGCTCAGAGAGCACAGAGATGATAGCAAATAAGTAAAGCTAACGTCAGCAGCCATGGCACTGGACGAGCAATCGTTATTATAATCCAAATGGGCAAACAGTCTAAATTATTATGCAAGTTGACTCGAGATACAAAAAATGCAAAACTGCAAAGTCGCATTTGTCATCCGTCACCGTGACAGCAACTGGACTTTTGAAACTGGAATAATGAGTGGATTACGCATTTAAATTGGCAAGAGAGGAATAACAGGGATGGAACTTTCTAGGCAAGGAGGATTGTGTGCATCACAGTCAGGTACAAGGGAGAAGGCTTCTTACATTAGGTAAGACAAAAAGTTTAATTTTCGCAACTTGTTTATCGACTTGTTAATAGCAATTTGCTGTGGAATATGTACCGATCGGGTCCAGTCGGGTCTGTGTCTCCCCGGCCGGGTTCGGGTCCATCTTTCAAATAATTGACGGTCCGCGTCGGTTCCGGGTAGTACATTTTTGACATTTCTTGGTTCTGCACGGGCCCGGGTCCAACTTTCAAAATAATAGACAGGTCCGGGTCGGTTCAGTGTAGCACATTTACGAATTTTTGGACCCGTGTAGACCTCTACTTTGAACCCTGGTTAACAAGCAGATAGCGCCGCGAGCTCGTGCAGCGCTGTCAGAATACATGCAATGCGTGCATGATTTAGAAAACATAACGTTCTGCAGTTTATTTACTAATTGTTTAAGCCCTTTTCGCGATTTCAGTCATCATACAGTAACCAGCAACAATCACCCCTTCCTCTTCTCATCGAAGACATGCGATGCAGTCCTAAACAGTCTCTCGTTGTCGGTGCTTGTAATGATTTTTGCGTATTTCTCCGACAGTTTTAAATGCTTACACACTGCTGACGTGTGTTCTGCATTATAAAGAGCGCGCCTCTCACTCTGCGCTGGTTGCTACTTGATCGCGTCATATCATTGTTCGGTACAATTTATTCTGTCTTTTCTCTTATTATTTTCGAACACCGAAAGAACTTTTTTTGCTATTTTCGGCCTAATAATTTCGGTTGCCTATTAACTTGACCTTCAAGGGGGGCGGGGGGTGCCGTTGGGGGGGCGGGCCGCCCCCCTAATATAATGGCAGGGGAAACACTGGACAATATATGAACACACTGTAGGTGTGAGAGATTATTCTATTAACTTTAACAGCATGATTGGATTTAGAAGGCTGAGGGCATTATTGAAGTTAAAATGTACAGAAACGAGTTCTCTTTTTTCTTCATCTGAATTAATGTATGGCTGTATGTTATATGTAGATGTGTATATCTATATTATTTATAGTATATTACTATATTTACGTTATTGTTACTTTCTATCTGACCTAAGATTAACCAAAAATAAATAAATAAATAAATAAAAAAGTACAGAAACGCTGTTTCACCACACTGACCTGTTGTTGCTGTAGATTGGTTGTGACTTTCCAAGGAAAGGCTTGTGTTTGTGCTGTGGTGGGCTAGGATCATGGCGGTGATAGGGACCACCATTTCCATTACGCAGCTCTGGAAGTGAGTTGGAGACCGAGGCAGTGGAATGGGCTGCAAGGCTAGGCAGAGAGGATGAGGTAGAGATGGGCTCAGGGTAAGGCTGCTCCATACTCCTCTCCTGACTCCTCTCCAGGCCAGAGACCCGAGGTGTGACTGACAGAAGGGGTTGCGAGCTATTTGAGGGCAAGAGAGGGCAACCGTTGCCCGCAGCAGTGCTTGCAGAGTTGGAGTTAACTGCTGTGGAAAAAGAGAGCCCTACAATGTAATACATGTAATGCTCTTTTTCATGCTTTATGACAACAAAAATAATCAAACAGTTCCATGTAGGCTTTCACAAAAGTATGAGAAATATCTGAGTGGTATATAAATTCATCTGCATTTTAATTACTGATGAACACCACTGTCCAATTCAAATCCCAAAAACATTCAAAAATATCATTATTCCTAGGTAATTCACCATCTACCAGCACAATATATACACCTGCTACTGCCATCAGACATTTACCTTCTGTTGTGCAGACGATGAATGCTGGCTCCATATTGTCAGAGGCCTAAACAGTGGGAAAAATTTCATTATCGAAATAGTAAAATGCATCAAAATACATAAAGCAAATTCAAGAATAGTAAACATTTTTACCTTATCCCCTGATTCACTCTCTGTATCACACTGTGGGATAAAAATAAAGAGATAAAGTTATAACCTACATTTGTGTGGGGAAAATTTTTTTTTTATGACAGTTTCCCTTGTTTATGATATATCATTTATAATACACAAACAAAAACATACAATACCGTTCAGTTGGGTCAGTATTTATTTATTTATTTTTTTCAAAAGAAAATAGCATTTGTTATTATTCAGCAAAGGATGCATTAAATTGATCAAAACGGACAGTAAAAACTTTTACATGGTTACAAAATGTTTCTATTTTTTTTTTTTTATAAATGCTGTCAAACTTTTCCTGAATAAATGTATCATGCTTTCCACAATACTATATCAACATTGATAATAAATGAGAAATGTTTCTTGATGACAAAATCAGCATATTAGAATGATCGTGTGTCACCGACGACTATAGCAATGGCTGCTGAATTTAGCTTTGCCATCGCAAGAATAAGTTACATTTTCAAATATACTTATATAGTTATTTTAAACTGTAATAATATTTTACAATATTACTGTGAATTTTAATCAAATAGAAGCAGCCTTAGTAATAGTAATAAGAGACATTCAAAAAAACATTAAACAATTTTAGCAAACAAGCTTTTAAATGGTAGTGTATGTGAACAATATATGTATGCTTTGAAAGTCTGTACAAATTTCAAAGTCATATTTTTGGACAGCAAAGAAAAACACAAAACCCACTGGAAAAAAACAACAACTCACAATATATCCTGTCTCCATGTGATTCCCAGATACCTGAAACAGACATTTGAAATAGTCAAACCACGGTGAAAATAAATAGAGTAGCAAATATGTAATTACATGAACGCAATAAAAATAAAATATAGATTTATATTTATTTTTGTCTTACATTATAAAGGTCAACTGAAAGTAGATAGTTACAGCCAGACATATAGGCAAGGATAACTAATTGGCTGATATTTGGCCATTCTGAGATACTGCATTGGGCAATAACCATTTACACTTTGATTAACATAAATAGCCGTTCCTTTTGGCATTATTTCTTAAATCTATTAATTGCAATTTTTGTTGCCTTTGAATTCTATAACCACAAACATGTAAATACATCAGCCAAGGATCGCCTGGCTCTCCCAGCATCTGTACTGTAAAAAAAACCCTCTTTTGACTGCTGCTAGAACAGCGAGAAACATATTCACATGTAATGCAAATTTTGTTTAGACCAGTCACTGCATCTAATTCGCCCAACAATAAGGCTCCTGACACATCATGGCTGCTCAATATTGAAAACTTATTTTAAAATGACCAATTGATTTATGTCGGACTCTCATCCACACGGGCCTATTCTAGAAATATTTGTGTTGCACCCAAAACATTGCAGCGACATGGTTTTCATGGGCGTTTGCACATAGATGATTTTATTTTTGGTGTTTATAGAGCGTTAAAGGGTTATGAAACTACATCACTAGCCTTCGCATCTCCCTTTCTCTTCAGTTTAGATTTGATTTTCCTGCGCTGCTCCCAACTGTTGGTGTATGTAGCAGGAGGTCCTTCCTCCGGCTCTGACAGAAGCCCTCCGTTTTCATCCAGGCCTCTCTTCCTTTTGATTCCTCTACTCATGAACAAGCCAGAACGTTCTGGAGGCTTTAGGGAACAGTCCATCTATCAAAGTAACACAGTACAGCATGTTAATGCAGCAAATATATGAGCTCTATACTGAGACTTTGCTGTTTATTCGTTTTACAATGAGTTTTAATAACGACCAAGTAGATATTCAGCATATTTTATACTAAAATTAACATGCAAAACAGCTCAACTTCTAATATACACATTGTACTGCAGCACTTAATACAAGACTAGTCAGAGATCGATAAACACAAACCTCCAAGGCCTCCAGGCTTATGAAGCTGGCTATAGCGAATCCATCGATGATATCCTCCTCGCAAGACACCGACTCTCGCTTCCTCCGACGCGGAGGCCGGTGTCTGGCCCCGGGGAAGCCGGGTCTGCATTCTCCTCCGCTGGCACGGAGCAGTGAGTCTCCTCTGCAGAGTTCTTGGTCCGAGGCCGAGGATGGCGACGAGGCCCTGTGTTCCGCGAGATCCGCTCTCCTCCGCCGCCGCTCTCGGTCACGCTGCGAGCGGGAGCGACGGCTCTGCCTGAAGCCTCCGCTTCGACTGGGACCGTCCATGTCAATGCCCGACAAAGGCACTTAATAAAAACACACCCTGGTCCGGCCTGGGGGACTTTACAACAGATACTGAATAAAAACCAGCGCCTCCAGGACCAGTGTTGCGGATCTCAGATGAAAATGTGGTTTAAGGTTCCCGTCTTATAATTTAATCGAGTCCAGTGGAGGCTGTATGGTGTGAGCACACTGTAGTCTGAGTACAGTCATGTCTGGGCATCACCGGGCCTGTTTTATCCAATAACACAGCGATTATAAAAGCTTCTAGATATTCCACTTACTGTCTTTCTGTCAAGACATTGTCACTTTCATCTGAGGAAGAAAAAAAGGAGAAACTACCGATCAGTGGCGCAGTCGGGTTTTTAAAGATTCAACATGGCTGGTTAACTAAGAAAATATGCTGATTTGATGTTGAAAGAGCTTATTTTCTACATACAGAATATAAACAAGACTAAATAAAACATCACTAAAGTGAGAAAGTATAACTATCGCGTTTTAATGGCATAAAGGAGAATAGTGTCTACCTCGTAAGTTAGGGCTGAGTTTTCGTTAGTAAACTTTATTAAAAGAAAGATGATCAGCACAAATAAAGTCCAATTGTCACACAAAAGCAATCCTTTATAGACTAAAATATTTTAGTCGAGTATTATTTCTGAATCTGAAGCACATAAATCGGTTAACAGAGCGACAAGTTAAATCGCTCTCAGCTGACGATGTTAGCTTGCTAGTTAGCTAACCTGGTTAGGATCGCGGATTAAAGCACACTCGTTTTTAAACGACCAAATTCGTAACATTTTTGTTTACTATACTATAAATGACATTATGAAAATTACTCGACTGTGATATTGCCAACTATTTAACGGTTATTATATATCCGGTGTGTTAAACACAACCAGGCGAGCAAACACTAACGTTACCACCTTACCACATATCAAATGTCATTTTAAAAGATCAATCATTCGTTTTACAGTGGTCTAGATCGTTATTTATCTTCTCTGAAGAGGGGCCCAAAGCTATTTAATATGACTCCAATAAAACAAGCAACCATGTAGCCTGTGGTTCGTTGACACCCCATCTTGCACTTCACATTTAAGAAGGAAATTAAACTAATTACTCAGTACACGAATACAACCGATGAACGTAACTCGACTTGTAACCACTAATAGTCTATTTACTGATTTAAAAACAAAACCCGTAAGATGAATCAAGATACTAGCCTATTAGCTCTCTAAGACAATCAGAGGAGAAAAGGGGACACTGTGCGATGTTTTAATCTCAACTCAAGTATAAAACGCATTAACGTTACATTCTTTTTTGCTTAAAACTAACCCACTCTGTTTTGCTTCACTAACGATGCTCACACGAACAAAACGACAACAATATTTCCAATCACACCCACCACTCGCGCTGTAGAGAGGGCCATTTTCCTCTGGCTTCTCCTTTCGTACGAGCCTCCATTTAAAACGATAATAATATACAACAGGCCCCAAGGCCTCGGGCTGGAGTTGCACCGTCACGGATGTTGAGCGCAGCCCCGTCAGCGCAGGCTGGGCACCTCCTTCCGCGGCCCGTTGTGTGATCCACTGTGTGCGGTCAAGCAGGAGATTTCGCCGGTGTCCGCAGCAGAAGCTGGTTTTTCCTCAAGCGTAACGTAAAAATGGACTTATGAAAGCTTGCTTTTCGTCCCGATCGTCAAAACGGGAAAATGGATTTCTTCATTTTTATTTGGGAAGCTGAGACATACATGAAGCCTGGGTGGATAACCCGTAGCAGTCAAACTGCATTGTGTGCTTCTGTCGGGTTTTCTTCCTCTGTTGATTCACTCAAGGCAGGCGGTATTGCATGCGACGACAGTACTGCCATCTACTGCCATTGAAGGGCACGAGCGAGTGCCTTATGCGGTATTTACCAATAATAACTTCTGCCCTAATGATCATAATGCACATTTGTTCTCAGCATCCAAAACAAGTGTTTTAGTGGTAATACCGAAATGTTTGTTTAATTAAAATTATATTACCACTCTTATTTGAAATATATGTATAATTAACCAATGTAACTACCTATTTTATTTGTTTCTGGAAAAAAATGCTGGTAAACTTTAATTGAGATTCTAAAAAAAATCCAGCTTTCCATGATTTTTTTGTTTTTTAGATTTTTTAAATTATTTTTATTTTCTAAGTAACATGCAAACGAGAACATTACAGAATATATCAAAATTGCATTGTACTATACATCCACACAAAAATATAGAGATGACATGTGCTGTATAAGAGGTTATGGGGGATTTGAAAACATATCAGTTGTTGTTATTATTATTATTATTATAAATGCTTATTTATTTTATATTTTTATTATTTATTTTTATATTATATTATTTATTTTATTTTAAATCGGGACCTTTGAGGTTACGTGTGCAATTTATCTTCTTTCTTTTTTTTGCTTACAAATATGAAATTTAGCTAACAAAATAAAGATTTTAACAATAATTTCAAGACATTTACCTATATTAAGATAAAATAATTTATTTCTGCGTAAGATACCAACAATACAGTGCCGAATACCTATTTTGATCAAATACAATAACAATACAGTATTATAATAAAAAAGTAAATGAGTCATAAATGTCCCTGTTGTTTGTGGAAAGTATTGTATGACGCGTTTCCTGTGACGTAGACCCATACAAAGGAAGTATTGACATTCATATGCGGAAGAGGTTAGAGTGGGGGAAACAATCGGGTGGATCGACGAACTGTAACTTTAAATAAGGAATAGAAAAAACAAACGACGGCGTGATATTTGGCCTGTTCAGCTACTGGTATCTCTGGTGGACGTTTTCCACATAAAGAAAAGACAAGGTAAAAACGAGAGCGATATAGGCCTCCGGGTTTTCTTTCTTTTCTTGAGCTAATTTTAGCAACTGATTTCAGTAGTATTGTTAAGGATATTGGTCATTTTATAAACGAATAGTCATTTAACATGTTCTTTTTCAAAGTTTCAGTCTGAATTATCGTTGTCTTTTTGAGTGTTTCGAGAAAGTTTTAGTGTTTATTGTGCTTAATGGCCCGGTTCATCGTCATTGATAGTATATAGCACATATAATAAGCTGAATAATAGGGTGTGTTCAAATTTTTCTCAATATTAAATTGCGATGGAATAGAACAATATGACAGCTATTACAGTAGGGGTAATGCCACTTGATTCATAGCGTGTAAAATATTTTTATTTGCCAGAAGCTGTAAAAACCACTTGTTCACATAGTCCCGTATGACATACCTGCAAACAATGATGTCATGGCATCACGTGGCCGTCATCAAATCGCATGTGGAAATCTGAATTCCTTTTCATAATCAGTTCTTTTTGTTTATTCACTGTAGAATAATTTGTAAAATGGCAGCAAGCACTATCACATCACTCCTGTTCAATCCTATTGACTTAATTGTCTCTCTGTAGTGCCATGTGGATTGTTAACAGATTATGGAAACCCTTTAAATTTTCCTTCAAACTACTAACAATCTGGCCTTTTCTCTCTCTCTCTTGTATTTATTCATGTCAGATGGACTTCCTGTTTGGAAGAAGAAAGACTCCAGAGGAGATGCTCAGACAGAATCAGAGAGCGTTAAATAGAGCCATGAGAGATCTAGACAGAGAACGCCAGAGACTGGAGCAACAGGAAAAGAAAATAATTGCTGACATTAAGAAAATGGCCAAACAAGGACAGATGGTAAGGAGAGGTTTAAATTGACATCCAGGTGTCACTGCCAGGCATGAAGTCTCGCTGGAGTGCAGATAATATTCTTTTTCTGACAGGATGCTGTGAAGATCATGGCTAAGGACTTGGTGCGCACCAGACGATATGTCAAGAAATTCATCATGATGAGAGCCAATATTCAAGCTGTCAGCCTTAAAATCCAAACCCTCAAATCAAACAACAGCATGGCGCAGGCCATGAAAGGAGTCACCAAAGCTATGGCCACCATGAACAGACAGGTATATCTGCTATAGCATTTCAGTTTCTGTTTGTCTTGCCAACAGACAGCTTGTTGATATGCATTTGTTGATGTAAATTCCTTTTCCTCTCAATGCAGTTGAAGTTGCCACAGATTCAGAAGATCATGATGGAGTTTGAGCGCCAAAGTGAAATCATGGACATGAAGGAGGAGATGATGAATGATGCAATTGACGATGCAATGGGCGATGAAGACGATGAAGAGGAGAGGTGAGAAAAAAGAGAATTAAGACGTTTATAATTATAATCTACATAAGATTTCAGTTGGATTTTATTGTGGACTTTGTCACAATTCAGAAAAAATAGCATGGTTTCCACAGAAATATTAAGCATAACAGCTTTTTTCAACATTGATAATAATCTCCTGACATGTGCTCTTTTTGCTTTGAATGTAGTGATGCTGTGGTTTCTCAAGTTCTGGATGAGCTGGGTCTGAATCTTTCTGACGAACTTTCAAGTAAGCAAAAAAGACACCACACTTACCATGCTATAAAATTACACTCTGAAGTCGTTCTCATATTACCTCTATTATTTAATTCAAACAGACCTGCCTTCTACTGGAGGAAGCCTTTCGGTTGCGGCTGGGAAGAAAGCTGAACCGCAGGCTACGCTGGCGGATGCCGATGCTGACTTGGAGGAGAGGCTGAACAACCTCAGGAGAGACTAAGAATGAAAGGACTTAAAGTAAAGGTTTTGATTCGGAACTGTCTGCGCAAAGCTCACTAAAATGTAGACTGATGCAAAGAAAAGAGGGAGGATGTGAATGCTGTCTGTTTTTTTCCCTGACATTAGATGCTTGAATGCGTCCTTTTTGTTTTTCTGTCTTCTATGACATGTGCTGTATAAATATTACCAAACGCGTAACCCAAATGAAGATGCAATGCATCAGACTGATCTCAAGCCTTCTGTTTAGACAAATCCTTTTTAAAGGAGATAAAATCAACAAAGAATCTGTTACCCCAAGAATCCAACTTGATCTTTTGAGGAAACAGTAACACTAAATATTTCATTACTATAAAAACTGCTTTGCCACACATCATATTTTCATTTGAATAAACACAGATGTTGATACTGATCTTTTATATAAATAGTGCAAAATGGAGTCACTCCAGTTTTCAATCTGTTCATAGAAGGGTACATCAGAGGATTACCTTTAAAATACTTGTGCTATTATACTATCATGATCTTCTAATATTATATTCATCTTGATCGTTTAGTGGTAAATACCTTCGCATAATAAATGTGGTGGTTTATATATTTTTTTTCTCAAAGTGATTGAATCTCTAGTTCAGGGCTGTCCAAACTCGGTCCCGGAGGGCCGGTGTCCTGCAGAGTTTAGCTCCAACTTGCCTCAACACACCTGACTGGAAGTTTCTATGCCTAGTAAGAGCTTGATTAGCTGGTCCAGGTGTGTTTAATTAGAGTTGGAGCTAAATTCTGCAGGACACCGGCCCTCCAGGACCGAGTTTGGACAGCCCTGCTATAAACCTTCATAAACCCTGAAGTTTTTGCAAGGCAACATCTCACAATAACTTTGGTCATTTAATTATGAAAACTTGGAACTTGGAAGCAGTTTTCCAAAGGTTGTTCTATCACAAAATAATCTAAAAAAATATTATTGAAAATTAAAAATTAATATTAGTGTATTTATCTCATGGTGAATCAAAAGAGGTGGTATATTTTGAAAAAAAAAAAATTCTTATTTTGCATTTATTTGGTTCAATAAACATTTTTCACACTATGACGTGATCAAATGTGTTCTGTAATATTTGGAGTTCCATTTGTTTTACAATGGCTGCCACATATACTGTTGCACACGTGGGTAATTCTTACAAACTAGTATCCCAAGTTTTGTGACGAATTGACTTTTGCATACAAACACAAGATTAAATTGTATTGTTTATATAATATTTGAAAAATAGTGTTAAACAAAATGGTTAAATCTTCAGTCTTTGAATAAATGTGATCCGTTTTCACAATCTTGCCCAGATCACATCTTTGTAATGCTAAGGGCCAAATCAAGTGATTTGGGGACAAAAATACTACAGTAAGAACAAATATGGATACATGAGACATTAAAAACTGAGTGTCAATTAAGAAATCACAAAGTGAGTTTTTATTATTTTTTTGAAAAACAAAAAATCTTTTGTAAATAATGCTATCAATATAATATCTATGCTGAACAAACAACACTTCTGACATTAAATAAAAAAATAACAGCAATGTTTTCCTTATTTACAGCCAATGTGTGTCAGTAAAGATATTTACAGAGGTCCAGTTGTAGACATTCAGGGAAAAAAAAAAAACTTGTGTGCGGTGCTCACAAAATCAACACATTTACACACAAAATCAGGTTATCACTTTTGAGTTAGAACAAGCCTATCTTTAGGAAATATCACAAATGCCCTGAAATAAATCCCATGAGGCACAGAATTTATGCAAAATTAATAATGACAAGCAACATTTCTGGACATGGATAAGGTTTTTAGAAAATGGAAGTGTAAAATATACTGTATTTTCAATAAGAAGGTTGAGGTACATCAAAAACAACATCAACAGACCAACTAACTGATCCAAAAATAACGTTAAGGGCATTGTCCTTAAACCTGCATGGGATGCTGAACAGATTCGGACCCACCTGAACGGCCATACAAACAATTCTTACTCACTCTTTTACATCGGGCATTCATCTAAACATCTTATCATCCTTACTCTAATCCTGACTATTTCTTTCTTTCTAAATGACTACGCTGTGCTTACAAAAATATGTATTATTTTAGGCATAAGATTCACCACGACATTCATGAACAATTACATTTGCAAAAACAAAACAAGCTCTTTAAAGTCATTCTCAACACAAATATTGAGGCATTACATGCAAATGTGCAGCAATACTCCATTACTACAGTTTAGTGCACATTAAAACAGTATTTGCAGTGGAGCCTGCAATAATCAATATCACTTAGCCTCAGTGAAAGGACACAGAACAGGACTACAAGTGAAGGATTAAATCAAGGCCACACACTGATTGTGAGGAAACTAAAATAGCAGTTAGCTGGGCAGTTGGTGCTTTATTATCAGGGCACAATAAAATGGAAACAGCTGTAATATGCTGCCATTTTCTTCTCACCTATACGGTCTCTGTGCGAGCAGACTGCAGGCAGACACAAAACCATAATGATGGGCTAATGTTCTGTTCCCTGACTGAACAAACCCTGCTTTGCCTCCTTTAACCCCATGTTATGCCACTGGACACGAAGGAACGCTCCTCTGGTTGGGGCCCAGAACCTGTTTGTGACTCATTTCCGACAGGTCCTGTGGGGAGTTTGTTTCTTTTGGTTTTCAATGCGACATCGACTTCTTTCATCAAGCCAGGGCAGCTCAAAGTTCCTGGAAGACAACAAATGATCATTATATGACACTTAACAGTACTTAAAAGCTATATGTTAATCAGGAGATATTTCAAAAAGAAAAAAAGACTCTTACTGTGGAGGCAAATTGGGCAAAGGCCGACCAAATGCCACTACTGGCAGAAAGGGTGTTACCATGATGGCCTCCACTGTACAAGAGGAAGGAAAGGAGAAAAAAGAAAATTTTTTGAAATTATCGTATATAACGGGATAAGTTTTTTTTTTTTGGTTCATAAATACAATATTTTGTCAAATGAACCTAAGGGTCATACCATTGTCCACATCAGGATAAAACGAAGACAATTCTGGCTCGCTCTCCTGAACATTCGTCTTTTTCTTCTCCATGCGCTGCTGCAATCTTTGAAGCATACGCTGTTCACGTATTCTCTGAATGTCCCATCTACCAAGAGAAAAAAGTTTAGAGCAAGTGTAGTTTCAGGTAGGTAGTAACTGTACATAAACAGCAAACTTTTAAATGACAGTTATTCATTTTAAATATGACTATATTTTGTTGTCAGTAAAACTCACCACAAAATTTTAATCGGTTAAGGGAACTAATTTAACCACAAACTGGAACTGATATCTTGATTATTATAAATAAGCATATATAGATGGGTATTTAAGCAGAATACTGATACATTTTAGTCTCAAGTAAATATCACAATATAACTCATAATTAACTTGATGCCTTTTTAATTAAACAAAATGTGTTTGTATAATTACACATTGACATCTACTGTGTTGTAGACATACACTATCCTTCAAAAGTTTACGGTCTGTATTTATTTCAGCAAGGATGCATTAAATTTAAATGGCAAAATGGCAACACAAGAGTTCTATTTTAAATAACTGCTGCTCCCATGAAAACTTCTATTTATTAAAGAATACTGAATTAAGCACAATTGTTGTCAACACTGACAATAAAACAAAATGTTTCTTGTGCACCAAATCGGCATATTAGACTGATATCTGAAGGATCATGTGACACTGAAGACTGAAGTAATGATGCTGAAAACTCAAGCTTTGCCATCACAGAAACAGATCATTTAAATTACATTTCAAAACACGTTAAAATAGTCAATCTATTTTAAGTTGTAATAATGTCACAATATTATCGTTTTTACTGTATTTATGATCAAATATATGAAGCCTTGGTGAGTATAAGAGACTTCAAAACCTTCAACAAATCTTCCCAACTCCAAATGTTTGAATGTTTTTCATGTGCACGGAAAAACTCAAATAAAAGGGTTAAAAACGGGTTGATGCCACAAACACAGATCTAGAAATGAAACTCACCTTTTTCGTCTCTTCTCATCCAGTTCTAACTTTGCGTGCCGCTTCAGAAAAACACTGTCATCAAGATTCTAAAGAAAAAGGAAATGGTGGATTAATGACAATGGGCCTAATACCTAAAGGTTAATTCATCCAAAAAAATTCTGTCATGATTTACTCCAAACATGTTTGAGTTTCAAACATTCTTCAAAATATCTTCTTTTGTGTTTAACAGATAAAAAGAAATTCATACATGTTTGGAACAACATGAGAGTGAGTAAATGATGACAAATTTTTGTGTGAACTATCCCTTTAAGAGTCTTGGATTTATGTATAACGCATATATGATGTCAATGTTGACTCTTACTTCTGGGATGTCAACAGCATCCTCCTCCTGAAGGGGTTCCATGGTGTTTTCCCTCCATGATGGGACTGAGGAAATATTTTTTTGCATTACAATTTGTAAATCAATGTGTACAACTGCCAGTTTGCATTTGAGCCAAGCACATACTTGCAACATCCTCCTCTTTCTTTGGAGACTCTTCCCGTAATGGAGAGGCTGGAGGTTGCTGCCAGCAGCATAGGTACATCTCATTTGTTGTCATGTATGAAAGATCTTCCGTTTCTTTGCCGTCTTCTCCCTCAGGCTGCAGGTCCGTCTGTCCGGATGATTTTGCAACATTCGTCTTCTCCGGGGTCTCCTTGTTTCGCAGGTCACGCTGACATGGTGATGTCCCTCCTGCCTCTAGTTTTTGGGGGGTCACTCTAGAGGACTTCCCTCTTGACCTCTGCATCTTTGTATCTAACAAGCTTAACTTCCTAGGCAGAATATTTACAGGTCACATCAGTCAAGCAGAAGCCACGAGAAGACAGAACAAGTAAAAAATAACAGGAAAAAGGTGAGTTTCCCATTCTTACCGCTTTTGCACTTTTCCACTTGACTTGGCCTGAGTTTGTGGGCTGTGGCCCAAATCTGATTCCCAAAAGTCATCCGTGTCAGGAACCCATCTCTCCAGTGGTTGGAATAGCCTCTTGTCACGTGGTTCCTTACTTAACAACTGCAAGCGGCGCTCCATCCGCTCAATACGGGCAAGCAACTGTTTAAAGGCAGGACAATTACATTAGAAAAAAAAAAAAACCATAAGCCTGCCAAAGGAGACAATGGAGTTTGGGGTTGGAAAGATTTTTAAAATGTTGTTTTAAAATGAAAGAAGGGTCTAATGCTCAT